TTATTTTATAATATAGGCTTTTTATTATTTTTCTAATATTTTTCTAAGCTATATAATCTTATATAGCCCTTGTAATTAAATCTTCTAATTATTCTTTATCCTATTGGCTAGTTATTTATCCCCTCCATTAGCCAATTACAGCACTCAAACCGAGGGGGCGGTACAGAGGTCACGTGTTAATAGGTGTACCGGGTCTGGTACAGGTATTGGCTGCCCTTCGCCCCCCACGCCCTGCCGACCAAGCTTCAACACCACGTGCCTCTTTCACAACTGCCAATGCCTTGTTCCGTTGTCTTGAACGGTTAACTCAACGCAAGTCTACAAGCCACAGTGGTCCCAGCCCCCATTGGATTGGGTTATTCTTCCAAGGCATTGATTTGATTTGATTCATTGCTCTTCACAAGCTAGACAAGTCGGACAATTCTGTACCCACACGGGCTACCGAGTCTGGCTGACAAGGGACAATGGACAAGGGTCCCCTAATAAACGAGTCGCTGATGAAGCAAGTCATTTGTGTTTCTGCTGCTCAAAAAGATCGTCACTCTTCTCCAGACAATTGACTTACAGGCCTGGTATTGTCTCCTTGGCACCGCTGACCTATCGAAACTGGTCCTCAATACCTACTGAAACACTTGGAGCGCCAAGCATCTCTAATCCATCGGCGTACATAGGTGGGTACCCAGGCTCCGGTCGCGCTTCTTACAAGGGTAATTAAGTTAATCTTTAGAGGGCTCTGCCAAGTGAAGCCAACTTAGCCAAGCGTACAGTACGCGCCTAAGCCAAGGGCCCGGTCCGTCAGCTCAAAGCAATTCAACTACTAAATTCATCGTTGCGGCTCGCGCTTGGCACAGCACAGCACTCAGTCCTTCTTTAAACTGCCTGCCACACAGTTTTGCGATGGCATCCCACACCCCTTGATTCATATCATACCTTAGCTCGCGACCTGCTCTGGTTCTGGTTCTGACCCTGACAACGGCGTCCTCTGTTTCTCTATTCTTGCTATAATCCTGCTGGATTGAAGCACGGCCATGAGAATTGCGATCCTCTCCTCTCCTCTCCTCTCCTCTCCTCTCCTCTCCCTCTTCCTCTTTGGACCTTGCTTGTCCGTAATCCCAGTAATTGTTGTCTTGTAATTTGCCCATCATCCATCGGGCTCTTTTGGACCAGTTCGCCCGAAAGGAGTTCTCAGACCACCCCCTCTGATCTGCTCTGAACTGAACTGAACTGAACTGAACTGGAACTTTTGCAACTGATGCTCATCCCCGTCGCGAATCATGTCTCTTCTCTCGAGATATTCTTTGCGCCAAAACCGCGGGTTTTTGGGCTCGGACAGTTCTGCTCTGCCATCGCAGGATGCACAGGTAAGTCAGTCAGTGCGTGGCCGCCGCCAATGTGCCTGGCAACATACTACATAAGCCTCTCTGCCTCCTGTATCTCCATGATTTTGATGTTGTTGACTAACAACGGTTCTGACATATTAATAGGATCGCCAACAGTTGCGCTACGAGCTTGACTTGAATTCATGGAACTTTCGCATCTGGGGTGTCTGTGCCTCTGGGTTTTTAACAGATTCGTGAGCTTTCTCTTCACCACTTCTGTACAACGACACTCTAACTTGTGAATACCCTAGCTATAATCTCTTCTCGACTAATGTAATCCTCGCTTCTATCGCATTTGTATACTGGCCCAATGGCCCAGAATGGTCGGGCCTACTCATTAACTTCTTCACACTCTTGGGATCTGTTGTTGGTCAGATCCTCTTTGGCTACCTTGCGGATCGCTATGGCCGAACTCGCCTCTATGGTGTTGAGCTCGTTCTGGTTATTGTATCCACGATTGGAGTCGCCACGAGCAGTCATGGCTACAATGATCTTTCTTTTCTCGGTCTCTTCATTTGGTGGCGTTTTGTCATGGGCATTGGTGCGTGAATCCTCCTCAGCAACCTCCCTCTCTCTGGCTTCCAACCATACATGAGAAATGACAAAAACCTCGATGCTAACAAACACTACAGGAATAGGAGCTGAATATCCGCTCAGCGCTGTCATCACATCGGAATGGTCCAGTACACAATCTCGCGCTACTATGCTCTCGTCCGTTTTCATGATGCAGCCCATCGGCCAGGCGCTGGCCCAGTTGGTCGGTCTGTTTGTCCTCCTCGGCTTCGAGCGAAGTCACAACCTCCAAGGAATGCGTTGCGGGCTCGATAGGTTGCATGAAGAGGAATGCAAAAAGGCCTTGGACGGTGTCTGGCGCATTGTGATCGGGTCAGGTGCCGTCCCTGCACTGCTCGCCATCATCTTTCGCTTCTTCCTGTTCGACTGTGGTATTTACAGCCTGGAGGTCAGGAATAAGCCGAGGATGGCTCTAGCAAATACTCAAAGAATCTACGGTGCTCCCCAAGGTGCTGGGCTAGAAGCATTCCCCAGCGGAGGTGTCAACGGGCGCTCCATGAGTGGCGGTGCTGGTGGACAGAACTCGTTCCCGATGAATCAATTCGTTCAAAGTCAAGCACAACCACAACCACAACCACCAGCAACATATCAGACTACGTCGCCCGATAGGAACCACCATGCTGCACCTTCGTATCGCACAAATGGTCTTGGAGATGGTATGCATCTCGCGAGCAGCTCGCAGCAGCCGATGCCAGTGCAGTTTTCGAGAGAGGACCTCCACAACTACTTCATCCGCGATGGGAACTGGGCATATCTACTGGGCACGGCGGCAACATGGTTCTTCTTGGACGTCTCCTTCTATGGCATGAGCCTCGACAATAGAGGCACCCTGTCGACGATGTGGGCGACTACCACGCCCACCAAGATTGACGACTCTCTCGAGTGTTGGACATCATCGCTTCGCGGGGGAAATTCGACGGTGCCGGATTGGGCCACCGATGGACTTCCAGTTTGGTCGACCGACGCGACGCACCCCTGCAACACCATCTACGACGTGCTTATCGAGCAAACAAAGCAATATCTCTTGACTGTCTCGCTTGCATCCATTGCAGGCAGCGCTTGTTTCGTCTTATTTGCCAACCGCATCCCTCGACGTCAGTGGCTCACAGCATCCTTCCTCGTTCTCGCTGGCTTCTTCGTCATCACTGGATGCGTCTACTATGGCGTCCATCAACAAAAAGGTGCTCCGGCCACAGTGGTGTTTGTAGCCATCTGCCACTTCATGTTCAACTTTGGTAAGCTGACACGCTCTCTGCTCCGCATGCTCAGAACTAACCAAGGATCACCAGGCGCCAACACATTGACATTCATCATACCAGCCGAGATCTTCCCGACCTGCTATCGTTGTCTGTGTCACGGAATCTCTGCTGCAGCAGGGAAGCTAGGCAGTCTCGTTGCTGTTCTAGTGGTGTACGGAATAAATCAGTCATATCAAGCAGAAAACAGACAAGGACTCATCTTTCTCCTATTTGGGTCTGTGGCTGCTGTGGGTGCCATCTTCTCCTGGGCATACCTACCTGATTCCCAGCGTCGTGTCGAGTACGACGGTAAGAGTTACCTCGAGTCCAAGACGCTCGAGGAGCTTGGTGAAGGAAGAGCCAAAGCACGACTTGGGGGCGAGCTAGTGACGATAGAAGAGAAATGGGATGCTATCAAGAGGAGGAAGAGAGGGTCCATGCGAAGCGACCCCTCCGTGCCAGATGGTACTATATAAAGGCCTCATGGCATTTCGAACTGTAATTATCACATCACATATTTGCTGTCTAAGCGACCTCGCCAGGCGCTGTGCTTTCCGTATAAATATTCATAATGAAATAGATACCCCTTAACCACAACCACAACCGGACTACGTTCGGAAAACGTACAGCCTCCTGCTCCAGTCGATATTTCATACCACTCTTTCCAATGTACCGAGGATTTCAGGCATTGCTAGAGACTCACTATCGATGTGTAGCTTCTTGAACTTGATGGTGCCCATATTGTTTCATCAAGGCATCTAGTGTCTCGCTGTATAGCCCGTGGTTGCTTGTTGTGGCTCGCACGCTCCTATCTCCCTCGATAGCATCCAGCCATCGCACCCAGCGCGATCCAGGCGGGGAAGACGGTATATTTGCTGGGATCGGGGTTCTAGAGAATCGAAGAGCAAAAGGTGCCAGGTGTATATCGACCAGAGACATGCTTCGCCCGAGAAAAAACGGACCCTATGATGATGATGAATTGGAGTCATTATTTTGGTCACAAGCGATGTACCGAGAGCTCTGGATCAACTACCTTTTTGTCTGCAGCTTCGACAAGAGTATCTATGCTGCCCTGTAAACTAACCCCTGTTTCATCTCCAAGAGCCGGGTCTTGATGTTGGAGGAGTTTGAAGAAGTTCGGGACGATATGACGGTTGATCTCCATATCGTCAGTGTTGCCTCTGATTCTGGTGATAGTGCAATGTATCTTACATGGTCAATCCAGAAACGGCAATTGGCTTTCAATCTTGACTCTACCGGAAGCATCGGTGTTCCTTGGCCGAGATCTTCAAGCTGCGCATCTCATCAATATCACAAACCAGCAACTTCAAGACGAGACTAACATATTCTAATATGACAGCACTCTTCGAACATGACCAGTTGCTATGTGCTATGGTGGGCACATGGCCATTAGGGTTAGCCAGGAGGGGTTGGGTTATATTACGGAAGGCATCTGTCTCGCAGTACTGGTAGGGCACGCCTTTTGCCTCCAGGGCGATCCAAATACGTTGAGAGAATGGGCTTTGCGGTTAGTATACATAGAAGTGCGAGTGTGCTTGAGTATGAGTTCGACATACCAGAAACATGCCGCGTAGAGTTTGAAATCACTCTCCTTTGCGTGTTTTCTAGCTGTGAGTAGTGCAGCTCCTGTGGGTTTCAGAGGAGTCTTTTTTAAGAATTATCCGTATTAGAAACTCCTTTTTATTCAGAATTGGCGTCATAGGTATGGCTTACCTGGGCCTTCTCCTTCTCCTTTCTCACATCCCCTTGGTTTGCCAAATGCCTCTGCACACTATTCTTCTTTATCTCGTCACTCCTTTGGAGCGTGTGCTTATGTGGCCCAGCCACACCGTCTCCCTTTCCATTTCCTCCATTGCCATTGACTCTCTGTATTGTCCACAATCGCTGTCCTGCCAGACTTGCGTCAAGACCACTGGTGTTATCAAGGTCCAGTCGAGCCCCCGGGAAGTACTCTGTAATTTTTATCTTGACGTCACATAAATCGCGCTGGCGCGCATTTCTCTTTCGTTTCTTCTTATTGGGGTCGTCAGATTTAGGTGTTCCTGGAGGACGGCCTTTCATACGACAGTCCCAGTAGTGCGAGATGAAAGGCTTGCGCTTATAACGCTGTGTCGAACGATGGGAGTAGACGTTGTCTACATGAGGAAAGTATGTCTCGAACCTAAAGCCGTTAAGGACTGGAATTACATCACAGATAGAGGCGGGCTTCTTTACTCTTCATGTGTAAGAACAATCGTCTCATCCACGTTGAACAGCTTATTCCGCCACATTTCCAGATCTGGGGGATCAACGATGATCTTACTGCTCAAGAGGCCGCTCGATCTTCCAAAGTCCTGTGGGTGAGCATTATTCTGTATAGTGAATATCCCATCGACGGGTGTTTCCATAACAGGCACCGACACTGATATTGGCGCAAGTATACCAAATTGACCAGCGGTTGCTGGTGTCGCGATACCAGAGCCACTGTGCATAGCATGGATATGGTAAGCCTCTCCAATACTGGGTGCCACATATCCTTGCAGATAATCCGGCGGCAGACCCGGAGTTGAGAACGTTGCGGATAGCACCGGGCCGGAGGCGGAGGCGGAGCCCGGAGGCGGGGTGTCCGGAGCTGCCATGGCCGTGGGTCTCCGTCCTAGTACAGCCACGGCGATGATAAAATAAACTCCACCGCGAGATTTGTCACTCGACGGGAACGACCAATTCCTCTCAGTGGCACTTTCTGACGTTTCTGTTGCTGCTTTAAGCCGCTGGTTGCCTGGATCATTGCCTGAAAGAGGGGCAAGGTGTTACTGAGCTGCAGCTGCATAGCAGAAGAAGCAATAAGGGAAACGCCCCACCAATCCTGCACAGACCATAAGGTACTACAGACAAAAAGAAAGCCGCAAAGAGGCAGAAGAGATCAAAGATAGAAATAACCTTTGAAACCCCCGACAACAAAAATGAAAGCCTCGCAAATCGCTCGCAATCGTATTATAGGAACAGCCCGATGCGGGGGTCGAACCCGCAACCTTGAGATCGCGTACTCGTAAGAGTCTCACGCTCTACCGATTGAGCTAACCGGGCGTGGCTCTTGATTTGATTCTATGCCCAGCAGGATCACCTTGAGACCATGGTCAAGTCAACGACACGCCCGTATCCAACCACGGACCTCTTTTCTTTCCCTGCACCTATCATGGTCGTAATAGTGGTGTTTCATTGTCATTAGAACCCGGGTATCCTTCAGAATTACTCAAAACATACATGGTAAGTCTTCCATGAGACTCCCAACCCATAGTGTACAAAATTGCCGATATGTTTGTCCCGTATAAACGCCCCTGTTGCCAATTCTGGTTCGTGGTGTCTTCACCTCCTTCTCTTTCTTTTTATGATAATTGTGGAATCCCGGCTAGGCTCTCGATGCCATGTTGCTTGCCCAACAATCCCACCCGCGAGAATTCCCTGTTCACCGATTTCAGGTATCCTTTGTTTCCCATGTTCCCAAATCCATGGCGTCCATTGGTCCCATATTCATCAAGGCCCGTAAGACGCCCTCGCCAACTTGCGGTATTCCTGATTGTCCTTGAATGTCTCCCCAACCATCAGGCATTGAAAAACCTCCACTCTGGTCAAGGCTGGTCGGCATCGTAAATCCAGCTGTGTCTGAAAAGAATCCTTGTGTGCTCCCGTCGAGAACACTCGGGTTCATCAAAGTCTGGTTCGGCGACATGGGGCTCGCGTTGAAAGAGTTGTGTCCGGATCCGTTCAGCTGCCCAGGTGCCAGATGGTTCCGTTGGTCAGATCCTGAGCTCGAATTTGGTGTAGGTCGATTTGATGTCAATCCATCAGGCGATCCTGAAGCATCCTGGCTATCACCTGTTACATCGCCAAAACCAGACATTGTCCGACTGCCAGATCCAGTCTTTTCGAATGTCGCCGCTGAGCTCGGTGTAAGAATGGGTAATTGTTGGTCAGACGACATCCAAGCCTGCGTAGCGAAGCTCTCTTCAGCAGTCGTGATCTCTGGTACGCTACGATTAGGCTCAACAAGATCCGGTTGGTTTTCACCTCTCGACGGTTGCATATAGTTGCATTCATTACGATATACTGCTATACCTTGCATTCCTTCCGGGTTATCACACCTAGCACCTCTGGGCGCCGCTGGGTTGGCAGGCTTTACGACATTAGTGCAATTCGAGGAGAAACGGCATGGGGTCAAACATACACCATCGTTGTTGCGTGGGAAGGCTGTCTTCAGCTTGGGGATTCTCAGTGCAAGTGCTTCGAGGTCGACATCGAGCTGAACGAGGAATGACTCAGTCAAGGGATTCCTGCGTTTCAGCGCGTTCATGGCAGAGAGCAAGAAGCGAAGTGAGTCTGCCGTCTGGCTGTCGTCCGGTCGACTCTTGAGGTACTGTACAAATACTCGCGCCGATACGTATAGGCAGAAAGAGATGAAGGGGTTTACCTAATAGCATATTAGAATCCCCGCTAATGGATAATAGCTGGCAACACTTACTGTTGAGAGATCCATATGGGAAATCATGCGCATGATGCTGGCAATCTCGTTGGCAGCTGTGATGCATCTAACTTTACTTTCGGCGCTGACCGGCGCGGGCAAGTTGTTCTTCTCCGCTTTGAAGATAGCGGCTTGGTGCAGACAGATGGTCGAGGTATGGATACTCATGTTTGTGAAGACAATGTTAGGATTCGACAAGCCATTAGGAAGCTTGAGTTGGGGAGGGAGACAAAGGGATGTGTTGAGGAGGATATTGTCCATCTGGCGGTGTCGTTTCCAGAACGGACCATTCAGGTCGTTGTCAAGATCATCGGCATCAGGACGGTGCAGATGTACCAGATTTCTGCCAAACAGGCAGGCCATGAGCACGATACCCCCAAACGGCGACAGCTTACCTGCACCCATGGGGCTAGTACATTCTGACAGTGACTGTGTCTGCTCAGGTTTGCTCATGATGAAGGCATCTTCTGAAGCAGGGAGATTGGTCATGATGTCACGTTCGTCAATGGTCATGGGCCAGCCCGTGCCAATACTGGCATACCGGTCTTGACAGAAAGCCATCCAGAATGTTCGGCGTCGTTCCTCTCGTTCTGTCCAATCCTTCGGTGGCGCAAGGCATTGCTTGACGTCGAGGCCCGTTCCGTCTAGTCTATGAAGACCAGTCCTATAATGGTCAGTAGAGAAACGGTTGTCGCTCAGGGAGTGCATACATTTGAGCCAGGCGGATAGCAGAGCCAGTGTTGATCCAGGCCCGGGGAAAATACATCATCTTCATTTCATAAGAGGCCAGCAGAGTATGTGTCTGGCAGTGAGCAATAGAGATCATGTGTTCTCCATAGCCCTTGACGTAATCCGCCTCAACGTACTTCCGCGCTCTGCGATAGAAGAGATCTTTCAGATCTGCATATTTATCTGTTATGGTGCATGCGAGAGTCCACATGGCATATCGCAAACAAACCGGTGGCCTTTGGTTCGGAGCGCTGTGATAACTGGTTAGACATTATACTTTTCCGCAGTATGAGGAAACAACATAACATACAGGTTCATGGCGGCAAGGTAACGGTATTTGTGAATCATGGGAATGGACGGATGAACCTTCTCGAAATAAATCTGGTGAAGCTCGTCAATGGTTTCTTGGGGAGGCAGAGGCTCCTCGAGACCTAGGCCAATCATTTCCCATGTGAAAGTACCACCAACGTTGTTCATGCCCATATCTAGACTGGCATTGAAATTGAAGTCGTCCATGGTACCTTGCTGCGGCGATTTATCGGTGAAGTTCCAGTGCTGGTCCATACTATGATCCCCGGTAAGGTTTATAGGCGCATTTGAGATATTAAGATTCGCAGGGGACGCTGTCTGAGGTGGTCCGGACATTGCGACATTGATGTTCTTCGGAATATTCTGCGGAGGTTCCTGAGTTTTCAGCAAGGTTTCGACTTGTTCTGTAAAGTCGCAGCACGTCAGTAAATCCAATTGTCGATAGTATGTCGGGAAGAGGCTCACTCAGTCGCTCCTCCAGAGCCTTGACGTAACCACGCTTAGGACCACTCTTCCTCCGCTGTTCGTCGTAGGCGCAAGTATGACCAAGACGGGAGCAGGTACTGCAGCTAGGTCTGACTCCATCGCATTTGAGCTTGCGCTTCCGACATATCATACATGCCAGCCGTTTTGGCTTGGGAACGCTCGCATTATCGGGTATTTCCTGTTGAGGCGCTGTTTCGTCCCCATCGGCGTCGTCGCTTCGTGGACGTTTGTTGCCGGTGGTGCCAGCTCCCTTCTCATTTGAGTCTGGCATGGGGGACTATCTGGAAGGCTGTGTTTGTTGGTATCGGAGGGTAGGAGTCGCGAACCGATTGATCAGACGGCGGCGGGGATAATAAATGCTGGACGGGCGGAATGACACGGTCTTAAGGGTCCGCACCTCCCGGAGAGAGATCCGGATATTCAATAAGCAATAACAGAAGTGGAAACCAGGAGGAAAGGCCGACACTGATAAAAGTCCGGAAGATAACGTGTTGGTGTTGTACCAAAGAAACGGTAATACGGAGCGTGGAGCGATGGGATTCGAGCTCACCACCGTGAGTAAGGTAAGGTAGGTAAGGTTACGGAGTTAAAAGATGGAGGCAGGTGGGAACCCTTGTTGTTGAGGGAGTCGTCGGACTCGGGTGGAAGGTGGGGAACAACTAGAGCCTACTACTTTACTAGAGTCTCATACCCTCTAATGGTTGGCAGCCAACGGCTCCACGGTTATCAAGGAGCTGGTGTTTGAGGGGTGCTTGCCGCGATACACCTTGGCTGCCTGGCGCGCCTCTAAGACGTTGCTGACTTTTGGAGGTGGTGGCCAGTGGAGTGAGGTACTGTACGTTTTGTACTGCACCTAGATACTAGGGTACCGTCAGTCTAGCGTTGCAAGGTTGGAGGTCGTTGCGCGTGCATGAGGATTAATAATGACATTGGATCCAGACTTACATACTCTGTAGTACAGTAGCAATCTGCAATTAGGTTATCCCTCAGGTTGTTTGCACAACCCAAGTGTGACGGAAATCAGCATTAAATACTACTCTTGAGGTTTTCGACGAAATCCCCGAATGCATTGCTGAATATGACTGTATTCGTCATCAAGAAGTTATTACCACATCTCTCGAACTAATATCGTCAACATCCACAATTACTTGCAGATATCATCTATCCTCTAGGTTAACACAGCCACACGCTTCGCTTGTTTCCGCTCTTCTAGTGGCAGCCATTTATGTCAGTGGGCGGCCGACTTGAATAAATATCATCGTCAACCTTGAGAAGCATGATAGTAACATTTTGTGTCAATAAGAAAATAAAACAGCACTCGTACTCGTGTGAGGTTGCAAAGCACAAAACAGAGCTACTCGATTCTACAACCAATTCAACAACGACAGCACTTCCTGAACATATCGGTTAACCGTTTGTGACAAGTTAGCCACTGCACGTTTATTAGAGTTAACTCAAACCTAATTATTACAAGCATTGCTAGAACTTCAACTACCTACCCTAAATATCTAACAGTCATGATCAATTCCTAACTATTCCTCTGGTTGAAGAATCACGCCTTGACTATGATATCAGATATAATAATACACAACGTCTATTCTCCCACACGGGCATGCATGTTTCCTTCTTGTAAAGTACAGCACATTCTGTTGCTTCTGATACCTCCCAGTATCACATATCACAATAAACCTACTAAGCTAGACACATAGCCTGAACGCTATCTACAATGGACGTGCCGGTCCTTATTTAGCCAGTCTTACACACAACCTAATCCTATCAAGAGCTTCACAAGAAACAGATAAGGCTGGCCTATGATGGTTTGCATGCTGAACACGAAATATTCTATACAGTACCAATTGCGTCGTAGAAATAAGTGCTTTCAAGGGCCAGTATAAACGGCTCGCACTGTACTTGACGCGACTAAGGGATTATATCTTATTTCCTGTCAACATCGACACCCACGATCCGCAAAATACCCAAATCACTATATGCAAGGCAATACCTTGTTGGAGCCCAAGCAACTACTGGACAAGCACCAGCTGTCTTAAACGTGTGGACATGGTCTCCTGTCTCGACATGTGATACTTCCAGGCCAGATCCTACAAAGCAACAATAACACCAAGTTAGCAAAAGCATCTCAAACATGGGGAAAGAATTTTCACCTTCATCACTTCCACCAACAACAAAACTACCATCGAACGTAAAGCCTGAAGTCAAAAAGGTTAGCGAAATTCACTATAAACCGACATCAAAGGAACGCACTCAGGCTCTTCACTGGCCCGACCATCCTCGTAATTGTCCGCTGGCAAATCCAGTCTGTTGTATCCCACAATGCAATAATTGAGTCTGAGCCTCCCGTCGCCAGATACCGCCCCGTAGGCTGTAGATCAGCAGTCAGACACGAAGAAGTATGTCCATTGAGCTCAAACTCGTCCGTCTCTTCTCCATGCTTGCTCTGCAATACAGGTTGAAATCCAGGGTACGACAAGACTCGGCTACGTCCTTCTGCTGTCGTGACGAATATCTTCTCACCGCTCCAGCAGAATGCGATCTGGTTGGTCTGCACGGACTGTTGATGTGTGCTGAGAGGCGTCGACTGGGATGGCGACAGAACGAATATGGTATCTGCCTTGTTCCCAACGAGAAGCGTGTTCCCATCTGGTGCCCAGACAAGAGTAAAAGCGTCCCCAAGTCCTTTGACCTCGTTGAAGCATGCTTTTGTCCTCACGTCCCAGAACTTGACCACGCCGTCACTGCTGACACTGCAAAGCTCTGCATCCTTTGTTGGGTTGAATGCGACCTTTTCAACAGATGCTGAGTGGCCCTTGAGCTCCGTCGAAAACTTCACATGAGGCTTTTCAGGGTTCCCTATCTCGTTCAGCCTCGCTCTAGTGGCCTTGCAGGCCCGCAGACTTGATCGACTTACACACTCTGAGGGTTTTCTCTGACGACCCCGTTGCTACTAGAGTCCCAAGGGGATTCCACGCGATGCATCGCAAGCTTCACCATCAAAATCAGCAAAAGGGACAAGACAATAGCCCCCCCCCAGCCAGAGAGCACATACCTATGGGGATTCGAGCCCCGCGAGTTATTGGGGTCGTTGTAGGGCTGACTTCTGAGGTTGCCAAAATAGCCAGAGAACTTATCCTTTGATAAACTCTGTCTTGCTCGAAGGACCGGTGCCATGTTATTCGACGGATAGGTGTAAACTTGTTTGCTGTGATGTCCAATGTTCTCGCTCAATTGGCAGCAGCTATGTTGCCGCTCAACACATGCGACGACCTGAGCACCTGGATTAAGTGAAATAAAATAAGTGGCTTGTCTTTACAGTTGGCGGAGGTTGGAATGGTTGTCTTTAAAGATTGGTGCTGGATGATGTTTAATGGTGATTGGAGTGCTAACATGGAGGAGCATCCCGTCAAGGTTAGTGCGGATCACACAAGCCACAGGCCTAAAACCAAAGGAACGTGTCTCTGATCCTTTGGTTTGGTGGGCCTGACGTGACGCGACCTAACAGTTAAAGCCGAGTCTAGGCTAGTGCATTAAAAACCATGTTTATAGATGCCGTCGCCAACGGCAACCGTTGTGACATTAATCATGTTCTGCGTAAACATCCAGCTCTACCCGTCCGTACATAGGCACGCGGCTGATAAATAGCACGCGAATTTACCCACTGTAACCATCCAAAGCCCTGGCCACAATCACCCATTGTGCTCCATGTATTCGTGAAATGCAAAACTTCATTCCTGCCATTCCTGGGCTCTTTCCGTAATCCGGTCATGGTATATGTACAATTTTCTATCACAAGCCCTTTTCACGACGGTAGCCGAGATGCGCAAGAGCCGTATCGAGTTCTCCTACTCCAGTCATTGAGAAACATCGCCAGACCGCCAGATGTCAAGCTCAGCTTGCATCTGCTACCCCGTGGCCCGTGTCGTACAGCTTCCATTACTCCCCGTCCAGTGCCCCATGAATAGGCCGTCTGCACAGCCAACTCCAACCAGCCGAACCAAGCCCTTAACTTCCTTCGCCAGTGACTCCATGCGCCATGTATGAAGACGAAAAGCATGCTTCGGGAAATGTGCAAAAACCAAACAATCGCAAACAAAAAAGTGCGGGTGCTGTCTGTAATATCAGACAGTGAGAATATGAATCCAGACCAATACGGCAAGTGCTTTTCATAGCATACTCGCTTAGGTATCGACAGTGGAATGTGTGGTATCATGATGGCCCACAAGGTTTACCAAAGGGCGTCGGTGATCTATTAACGTCGTGAGGCAGCGGTGTAGCTGAATCCAACCGCTAGCCGAGTATCCTGTTCTTCAGAATATCGAATAAGATGTGCCATAAAAAGTTGTGACTTGAGTGTGCCTATGATAGCTCATCAAGGCTCAGATGAACGTCGGTGATTCCAAATAGAACAGCATTCTTCTTTGCCCATTGGCGGGCAAGAATCGAAGCTTTGTACCTGGTCAGCTGGCTATTCTTTGCGCGCTAGGAGATACATACCCTTCAAGAACTTCTTGCTAGCATACTTCTTGAAAAATGCTTCATGAGTGACAGGGCGAGCGAGGTAGTCGACCATGAGGTGAACGACAGGCTCGATCTCGTCCTCAGTGTAACCGGCGTAGTAAGAAAGAGTCTCGTCCTGCACATCCATTAGTAGTTGACACGTTAAGAATGTGGATTTCACGTACCCATTCGCCACGGTCAAGCATCAACCGCGCTAAATACATGGCACCGGCAGCAATGTGACTGGGTCGGTAGGCCATGAATCGATGGTCCAGCAAGCCAATCTCCATCAGGTACTTTCCAATGGTTCGAGACTGGATATCGTAATTGTCTGCCTTGGAGACACGGCGGAGGAAATTCATAGGGTTGGGGTAGCTCAGATCATAGTTGAGAGTGCTCAGAATAAATCGCTCAGCACTCAGAATCTCGGCCTCAGTAAAACCATCGTCGGCAATACGCTTGAAGTTCTCGACGTGAGGAGAGAGAACCTCCTCGTACTTGGAAGCGATAAACATGGCAGTGATTCCCACAAGTTGGAGACGGTCAAGCTGGACTACCTTCTCGGATAGGAAGCGATCAATGAGATTGACGGCGAGAAAGAGGGTTTCGGGAAGTAGATGGAAACGGGTATGGACCTCAACGAGCCAGTCGACCAAGATACCGCGCGTCTTCCATTCGAGCTCGTCCTGGTGAGACATATATTGAGGATTGGGAACCGACTTGCACTCGAGATCGTGCAAGTACTCAAAGATCTCATTGGCATATTCGGCAACCATAAGAGGATCCTCTAGATCCTCGCTGTCCAAGTCCTTGACGCCAGGAGGGTACTCGAATGGTGCATCTTGCACCTCCGCCTTGTCTAGAGAGACCTCGGGCTTCTCGACTTCAACCTCGACAGGTGTCTCTGATCGTTCACGCTCCTCGGGAATAAGATGCTGCTTTTTGGAAGGGTGCTCATTTTCGTTGACGGGAGCTTTTATCTTGGTGTTGGCGGCATCCGTTACAACCTTTCGCTTGTTTATGGTACCGGAACCGGACTGAGTCTTTGAGTTGGTAGGCTTCGAGCCGAGAGCAGTTCTTGTGGTAGGACGCGCGGTCTTTTTCTCAATACCAGTGGGCTGAGCAGCCTTGGAGACCAATCCCTTGGCCTTCTTTCCAGCAACACCATCGACCTTTCCTACATTACTGACATCGCCCAATGCAGCGCGTTTCCGCGTGTTACTGGCGGCGGTACCGTTGACTGTGGACTTCTTTGTTTGCAGAGCAGCCTTAGCAGGCATTGATAGCTCATCAACCTTTAGAGCGGCAGCTTGGGCTCTTGTAAGACGCGTCGTGCCGCTGTTCTCGTCATTCTCGTTGCCGGCGAGGCGCGTACGAGTGGCCCGAGCCTGCTACTCAAGTTAGAATGGCTGATCGGGGGAGGAACCCAAGCCTCTCGGTCACGTCTGAGCACTTACTGGAGGCATCTTGGCTATGTAGTTGTTGATCGGTGTAATATTGACAAGGGGGTAGTGCTGGAACAAATGAGTTAGTCAACGCGTCGAATGAGAAACATGAAAGAAAAAAGATGGCTGAGATCACGAAAGGATATAGACAAACAGCATTCGAGACGCTGAGACAGTCGAATCAGAATAGGAATTCAGCTACCAACCTTTGGGTCAAGCCTGGTGAAAACACCGCGAAAGGAATGTTGTGAGTCGTGATAGATGGAGCGATGACTGATGCTGTATGTTAGTCGAGGGTGAACCAGCCCGGAATACAAAGTTGTTGGCGGACGAAGTAAACAAGAGGTAAAAGGACAGGAGCAATGGGCAAATTTGGGCGGAGACGATGTTTATGTTCAAGAACAGTTGTGGTTGTGAGGACGATAGAAGTGTTTTGACGAGCGGGTAAGGAAGATGAGTTGTGGAGATCCACCAAAGTGGGTACGTACCCGTACGCGGCTAGACAAGTCGCGTTGCTCTTCGTTGCTCTAGGTACGTCAGGCTCCCAAGCGTGATGTCCCACTCGAAAGAAAAGGATTGGAGCTCGTTAGGAGCAGGGGTGATGCGATAGCTTGGTTATTTTTCACGGGACGTATCGAAACGCGCAAAGAATTGAATACTGCGGCGTGAGGTGCAGTAGACTACCCAGGTGCGAAAAATGTCGAGTAGGTAAGGTAGGTAGGTAGGGCTGGACAGTTCAGCAGAAATGCTTGATATCAGACGGAGGATAATGAGAATGGTAGGATGAACGAAAACCCTGAACAAATGGCAATATCCCGATGGTCGAACAAGGATGAACGTAAAAGAGACGGTAGAGACGACAGGCACATTTACAAAGTTGAATATCAAAAGAAGAGAGAGAGCCAGGTCAAGGTAAACGGACGACGGTGGACAGGTCTTGACATTTAGTATGGAGGGGCGGGATGTATGAGATCAGTACAAAACGCGCCTGCATCCAGGTCAAGTCGCGAAAGCTGCTAGTAACCTGGAACCTTGGAAAAGCTACGTACTACTTCCGGCTCGAGACTGTGTTTTTGTGGGACTGCCGCCCTAGCAACCGCCGGCCAACCGCCTTCGAGCTCAACCTCATTGGCCCAGCCTCGTCGCGGGTTGAGGATTGTTCACGAAGCACGAGCCATGTGGGAGCTACCTACGTGAGGGCGTCTGTGGCGGTACATGTGGCGGTGCACTTTTACTCGAGTGGCTCAGATTTGTCCCTCCGGCACAAAGTTGTTCATTATCCGATGAAATTTGAACATCTCCAACTACGACACCAACGGTGCCATTGGCGATAGTCGGCTTCTTTTCTGACGGTCCTGGATTCCCCAATTCGTTTCTTGCTACTAGCTAGAGATTGTTTGAGCTACCAGGAAGCTTTTGATATTGAGAGGCCCGCCTGATCTGCCCTCCAGCGACCGTCGTTGGGGAAAGCATTGCCTTCCCCTCTGAGTTAATATCAAACCATACAACCACACGAACCAACTCCGATGAAGACCAGCTGCTAAAATTCCAAAAGTTGGAACACTCAAGACCGACAATGCTTCAGTCCGGCCTTCAATTTGCTGCTGCGAGGCAGAGCGCTTTGCGCATGGCTCTGAGCCGATCGCTCCCACGAACTTATGCAACCATCAGACGTTCTAACGAGACCACCGCCAGTCCGAAAGAACTCGCCGAGAACCCCGAGAGTCAATCTGCTATCTTGCGAGTCTATAAGCCCCGAACGCCTGGTGTGAGACATCTCAAGCGACCTATCAACGATCATCTCTGGAAAGGACGACCTTTCCTTCCCTTAACATTCCCTAAGAAGGGCCAAGCTAAGGGTGGCCGAAATGTGTCTGGTAGGATCACCGTGCGACACCGAGGTGGCGGTGCGAAGAGAAGAATAAGAACGGTTGACTTCCTCCGCAACCGACCAGGACCTCACCTGGTGGAACGCATTGAATACGACCCAGGACGGAGTGCGCACATTGCTCTCGTCACTGAGAAGGCTACCGGACGTCACACTTACATTCTGGCCGCTGATGGTTTGAGGTCTGGGGATATTGTGCACAGCTACCGTGCCGGTATTCCTCAAGATCTACTTGACAGCATGGGGGGTATTATTGATCCTGGTATTCTAGCTGCGAAGACTGCCTTCCGTGGTAATTGTCTACCTATGCACATGATTCCTGTTGGCACTACAGTATTTGCCGTGGGATCCGCAGCTAGACGTGGCGCCGTATTTTGTCGTAGTGCTGGCACCTCAGCTGTGGTCGTCAACAAGAACGAGGAGACGAAAGACGACGGTACTAGGGTTATGACCGGCAAGTACGTTGAGGTTAGACTTCAGAGCGGCGAAGTTCGAAGAGTTAGCAAGGACGCTTGTGCGACCATTGGTGTGGCTAGCAACATTCACCACCACTATCGCCAGCTGGGCAAGGCTGGACGAAGTAGGTGGCTCAACATTCGACCTACAGTCCGTGGTGTTGCCATGAACAAGGGTAAGGAACATAGGCGCATCTTAGTAGGACTGCTGCTGACATGAATTACACAGTCGACCATCCTCACGGTGGTGGTAGAGGTAAATCGAAGGGTAATCGCCACCCTGTCTCTCCTTGGGGTGTTCCTGTAAGACTACCTAACAGCCTCGAAGCATATGAAGCAATGCTAACACCTTCTTCAGACCAAGAGTGGTTACAAGACTCGACGCAAGCACAACAGAAACAAGTGGGTTGTGGTACCTCGACCTCGAAACAACGGGAAGCGCCGAGACAAGGCCAATTAAGGGAAAGGAGTAATGAGTTGACGCGTTGGATGAAAAGCACATGCCAGGCCGAGAAAGAAGTCGGCCGTCAGTGCGTTGTATATTATAACGCTGCATTGTATCATATGTGACATTATAGATAAGTGCCCAATTGGCGTCTTAATCAAAGAACCACGTAGGAGCATATATATTCCATCATTTGAAGTTTGGCCATTTGACATTGCACTGGAATTGTTACAAGCTGATTTCATGCATACGTCAGTATACCCAGTACCCTTTTATGATAGATATCCCCAGGACCGGACCGTAAACACTGGCGGTGGTGAAGCCTGGGTGACAGGTTCATGCAAGAACCTTGCGGCGGCGGATGGACAGTCAAACGTCTTTTCCCTGTAAACGATCTGATCCTATTCAAAGCAGACGATAGCAGGCAGGCAGGGCCTATCGAACAATAAGTGTGCTATTGCAATCTCGGACCAGACAAAGGCCTCTCGAGTTTCAACAAGGGTATAGTGTTTCACCGGCTCCCAGCAGTCTCAACTCTCAAGGCGCAAGGGCTCTTTGGCTGCAACCGAAAAAAAAGGGTTCAGGCTGAGTGAGTGGAGATAATTACCCGTTGGCTCGAGCCGGGGGGGGGGCAACTAAGCAAGCTTAGTTGGGCACAAAAGGCTGATACAGACACAAAAGGCTGATACAATCTTGAATGCTAGTAAATTTAGTTGGCAGATATTAGGTTTGATGTATCTATGTAATTCCCTGTTATTTCCAGACTTTTCCTTGGAGAATTATTGGATAACATCATACGGGGCAAATCACGCCAATAAAGATGTGTATTAGCCTTTTATGCCCGTATCAGCCTTTTGTGCCCAACTAAGCTTGCTTAGTTGGCCCCCCCCCCCGGCTCGAGCCAACGGGTAGTTCGTACTGAGCCGAACGCAATTGCTTGGTACCGTGATATGCTTCAGCTTACACGCCCAAGATTCCGAATAGCCGTTTTGTTTACGGAAGAGCCAATGAGTTCGTCTTGTGTTTATGCGGAGAATCGATTAAATGTCATTTTTTGGACGGAGCTGTCCCGGCCGGCGCTCACACGGGTACCTACTACTTGGGTACTTTGCACAGCCTCACAAAGCCACGAATCGTAAGCTAAGGCTCGTTGACAGGTTCAGCAGTGCTAAGTTCTAATGAACTACCTAGTAGGTACCACAAACCAAAGGGAGGTTTGAAATTGAGCAGCAGCTTGTAGAGGCAACAATTGTTAATCAATCTTTCAGTTCTCGCTTTACTAATGAAGACTGGCTCCAATATCATGGACGCCGCAGGCGGGTAATAGGATTAAGGTTATTTCTCATCCGCGGAACTTGATTGGACGGGAAGGTTCGGGAAGAGATAAACGCAGATCATGGCAAGGCCTGGTAAGCCAGGTCATGGAGTTGTGACTTTCAGGGAAACAAGACCGTAAAAAAAAGCAGGACGGGATGACTGACTAGGATATTTGGTGTGCTAGGGATTCTAGGGATTGACTAGTACCTACATGCATTCCAAAATGCCCGATGGAGCTAAGGGGGTGACGATTTGTCCGCCGATGGTACGGAGTGAAGTGTTAAAGGACCGCCGTAACCGTAACGAAGACATGGTTAATGAGACACCGAGCATAGCGGCAGCTATTAATTAGCACTTGACACAAGTGCCCGTTCCTTTGGTGTGTACTCACTCGAGAATCCGTATCATCAATTTACCTGAATGAAGGGAGATAGACAAAGGCCGGCTTGAAGATTCCACTTGAACCACATCTGGTATTCGGCGTTCACTGAATGCCAGATCTGACATGATACAGGTAGGTACCGAAACATTGCGAACTAAAATTAACAAAACCTAGGTACCTTATCCCGTCCTCGGGCTCCTCGTGCCCCGGTGTTAGTTGAAAAATAGCCATCGATACGCGGACAGACCCCCGTAAGAAATGGATCATAAGCGGGACCACGCGAGCATTTCCCCAATGAGGCTCCCACACGCCACTGGGGCTACAGGGGGTTCGTCATAGCCTCATTCTAGTGCCAGCTGTACTTTAGAAAAAAACAGGCGCGCGCAAGCTCAAACACCATCAGAAAGGTCTCAAAGTGAAGATCTTTCATGATTTAAGCTAGTATTGGAAGGCTCGGTAGAAAATAAGCCTTGCAAAACTTGCCTCCGGGCGGTACATGACCCCAAAAGGAGATCCTAGGGCACCCAATTCAAAGACAATTCTCCTAACAATGGAAGTCTGTAGGTACTAAGGTACTAAGTCTTGGCCCCCTGCCAGGTAGACTCCAGCTGGTACATAGGGCCCAAGGCTAGGAGTGCCGCAGTACACGTAACCTCCAATTACCGAAGGCCGTCAGCCCCATTCATTTCTTACATCAGTTTCCAAAGGACCAGTTTCTGGTAAAATCGTCCGCAGCTCAGTCCAACGCTGCCAGTCCAAACAGGAGAATTCCATCTGACATCGATATCATCAAGCACAATATTAACGATTAACGAAGACATAAGAGCGACTGGCGAGTGAGATTGCTTTGACGACTGAAAATATCCTCATATGCTTCATACCCCAGACTTCAACGCAATACCCATAACCATAACCGTTATCCCTTCATTTCTTGCCCAAGTCATTGAGAAACCCAAGACTTATTGTCGCATGCCAAAACTGCTGCTCCTCCTAAGCCCACCTCCTTTGGACTAGCCGCTTGGCCGTTCTTTTCGTTCTCTCTCATACACACACCTCTCTCTACAAGCCCACACGCCCTCCCCAGACCCCAACGCGGACGAAGGCGTAAACTGTCTGGCTCTCAAGTGCACGCAGAAGCGGGAAACGGGGGCTCAATTGAGTGTGTGACGACAAGCCCCAAACCTCAAATAACCCTCCCTCCCACCCAATTCGGCACTCGATCTTCTTCTCCCCTCTTCTTGATAGAATATGCATTCCTATTACAAGATGGGCGACTCGGGTTTAGGAACATTATCTGGTGGTTTGCGAGGCCGTCGATTCCCCATTCGACTCATCTTGTCCTACCTCTTCGACTGGATCATCTGCTTTGTCTTTGTTGGTATCGGAGGTTGGCTCGATCGAGTTGCGCCTGCGAAACGACCATTCTCACTTGTTGACCCCAATATCTCGTACGTAGGGTGTTTTCATCTCTGGGTAATTGTCTAAAATGCTAACGTCGTTCAAAGATATCCATTTGCCGAGCATGAACTCGTCCCTGCTTACCTCTTGTTCATCCTCGCCATTGGCGTTCCTTTCGTCATTGTCGCTGTCGTCTCCCTAATATTCGTTCCGGGCCCGACTGTACCTAAGGGTACCCCAAAGACTCTAATCTGGCAGCGCAAGCTCTGGGAGCTCCATGTTGGTGTCCTCGGCCTCGTCCTATCTCTGACGCTGTCGTGGTTCTTCACGAGCTCCATGAAGAATTTGTTTGGCAAGCCTCGACCGGATCTCCTTGCCCGCTGCGACCCTGACTGGAAAAACATCGACAAGTATGTCGTTGGTGGTTTCAAGTGGCAGAGCATGACAGGACAGCTTGTCTCGGCCGATATCTGCCAACAGACGGACAAGTACAAGATTGACGACGGTTTCCGTTCATACCCTAGCGGCCACTCGTCGTCTGCCGCCGGTGGCCTTATTTACGCCTCGCTCTTCATGGCCAGCAAGTTCGCAGTTACTATTCCCTTCGTGATGCCCTCCGCTGCTGCCGTAGCAGGAGCGGCCAGCCATGCGGCGTTCCCTTCTCGAATCCACACCGGCTCTGTCGTCGATCCCTACGAGCCCTCGCGCGCCCGCGGCCCCGATGGATCATTTTCTTCTGTTCCTACAAAGGAACGCGCAGGACAGGATAATGCCAAGGTCCAGTCTCTGCGTCGCCAAGCTGCTGCGCCCCCGATTTACCTCCTTGCTCTTGGCCTTCTCCCCTTTGGTGTCTCAATCTTCATTGCTGGTTCGCGCTGGCACGACCGCCGCCACCACGGCTTTGATATTCTCTTCGGCTACTTGATGGGTCTGGTTGCCGCCATTTTTGCGTTCCGATATTATCACTTGCCCATTCGTGCAGGTGCAGGTTGGGCATGGGGTCCTCGAAGTGATGAACGTGCGTTCTGGGCAGGTGTGGGACGACAAGGCTATGCTGGTACAGACGCGGAGCTCGGCGTATACTCTCCTCGACGCGACGTGGGCCATTCTGGAGATACATCATACCCACCTATGACATCCGCCGTCGCTCAACGGAATGTTCGCCAGAATACAGACCAAGAGCCTAGGCCCAGCCAAAATTTCCAAGACGTGGAGCTACAGAGGATGGATGATTCTGATCGACTAGAAAACAGATTCCCTGATGAGCGGTTTACTGAAAACCGGTACGGTGACGCCCATTATGCTGAGAATCGTGTCTAGAACCGCGGAATATCGCAACCCAAGCAAGGTTTTGCTTTACAGCAAGACATACAGTGATGGCATGTGTATACGTACGTAATTCGAATGGATGGTATATTCAGGTTCCAGGGAAAAGGTGACACCTACGAATATTGGTCAGGATTGGATTCTTGTTTGTAATGAATGGAAAGCGAACAGTTTGCGGCCAGATAGACCCCTTGATTTTTTGACACGACATGACACGAACACCGAAATAACTGATGGATGCCAACCTCAGCCAACGTGAATATCAGTGAGATACCAAAGTAATTGCTTGCTATTTCAGAGCAAGGTTTTATAACCGGCGGACGATCAGCAAAATTCACGATCAAATAAATGCATTAATGGGAGAAGAAGAAAAAAAGACGCTTCTTGTTGAACAGCTATAATTCAAGAGAAAAACAAAACATTTCACACCCCTTCGTTGTTTATACCAGCCCAATCCAGACCATATGACTTGCCGCCAAACGCCAATCCAGAATCCGACCAACAGCCTCGGAAACAATAGAACTGCTCTGCTCGCCTCCGAGAGACGGCGAATGCCTGTGCAGAAGCAGATCCGTGTCCACTCAACAACCCC